TGCGCTGCCCTCGGGGTCCCCGCGCAGTCCCAGCCTCCTGCCCGGCCTCCCCCGTATTTATGAGCTCCTTGGAAAAAGCCTCCTCCAATGACACCGAAGGTACTCGCTGCTCCTCCTTGTTTGCAAACTCCTGAGCCCCGGCCAGGATGGAGCGGGGAGAAAACTTCTCCCCACCCTCTGCCCGGCACCCCCCGGGGAAGGGAGGAGGGGGGGCAGCACCCATCAACGCCCCCCCCCTCCCCTTTTATTATTACTATTTTTTATTCTTTTGCCCATTGAAAGGCTGAAGGGGAGTGAGGAGGGAGCTGGAAATGGCCCTGCCACCCCTGCACAGCCCCCGCTGCGCCCCCCCGCACCTCAGAGCCTCTAAAACTTCAAGGCTGGGGGAAATGCAGAGAGGAGGGGTGAGGGCACTGAGATTTTCGGGGGTGGCCTGGAAAGAAAAGGAAAAGGGCCCCAAACAGAAGGTCCCCGTAGGGGTGCAAAAGGTCCCCTCCAGCCCCCTCCCCAGGCTTTGGCAAGCTGCAGCGTGCCTGTTCACAAGGGGAGACCAAGGCACGGGTCCTGCAGGCAGGTACCCCTTACACCCCCTGCTTTAACCACTAGTCCTGGCTGTACTTTGCTACCCTGGGCGGGTTTGCACCCAGTTACCCCAAATTCCCAGGTCCCCCTGTATGGGAGGGAAACTGGGACCCAGCGAACCTGCTGGCGGGTGCTTGTTCCCCCCTGGTTGGGCTCTTGAGTGAGCTTTGCAGGGGCCACACGGTGCAGGGATGGGGCTGGGCACAGCCCGGAGGGGCTGCAACATCCCCAGTCGGTCCCCGCTGCCCATCCCTGGGGCATTAGGAGGGAAAGGGCTGGTCTGATGCTTTGCGGCCTTTTTCTTGCTGCTACGTTTTCAGGAGCGCTGCCCCATCCTGCAAAGCCACCCCAGGCCGGCTGGGATGGAAGCTCCACCGTCCCGCAATGCTATTTCCCACTAAGCCCAGTTTGGTGCTCACGAGGGCAGGAAAGTCCCCCCCGAAAAGTGTTTCCCCAGGTAGGACGAAGGATCTCCAGGAACAGGACGGCACCAAAAATCCCCAGCCGGACCCCCTTGCCCAGCTCATCCCTGCAACCTGCCCCGAGGAATATATTTAGATGCTCGATTCCTTTATGATTCTGACCCCCTGACATGGGCTGCAGGGCTGCAGCGGCTCCGCTTTGACTGATTGTGGATTTCCTCTCCGTGCTGTCAGAAAGCCGGTGGGCTGGGGCACGAGATGGGAAGGCATTTCCTCGGGCCGGCTGGCCGCTGCCCCATCTAACCCGTGCACGGAGGGGAAAAACCCAGCGCGGATCCCAAGCCGGGGTGTTTGTGCAGGTAGGCAGAGATTTACCACGTGCCTGGGTGTTCCTATTGACTCTTGTCAGATTACAAGCGATGGAGAGCGCGGTATGTAAACGTAAGCTATGCGGGTCCAGGATCCGCCTGGGTTTCCTGGTCTCTCCCCTTCCTTTGCACGGGAGCGGGATGGCCGCGGGTCTGTTTTCTCGTGGGTTACGGCGATTTGGGGGTCCGGAGAGGTGGCAGCTGCCGACTGCGCTTGCAGCAGAAACAGCAACTGCCCTTTCTGAGCTTTTCTCCGGGACCGCATTAAAACCCTGCGGAAGCAACAACATTTTCCAAAGGAACTGATTAAATCTATTAAGCTATTTACAAGTGGGCTTGATCAGAGCTGCGTATCTGGGAATACAACAGGAAGGCAACTTCTCTTAAATCTAAAAGGCGCAGGAGATTTCCTGGTCTCAGGACAGATTTATAAACCCTTTACACACACACACACACACACACACGCGCAGGCCGGGGCATAGCAACTGCCTTTCATCTGCGTTTTGGAGCCATGCACGCTCCTGGGGACAGCCCGTGCCGTCCCAGGCTTTGCGCAGCGGGCTCCGGTTCTCTCCCAAAGTCCTGTCTCACGCCTTGAAGTGGCAGGACAGGGCAGGGAGAGAGGATGCCAAACCCTCCGTCCCGCTCTGGACAAGTCTCTTGGGTGCATTTTGCAGACGGGAGTTGCTGCAGAGGTTGGCAGCAGGAGGTTGGGACGAAAACCCGTAACATCCTCTTTTTTTTTTTTTTTGATTTCCCTTTAGTAGGGCTTGAAGTGCACTGAAAAAGAGACTGCCCAAAGTTGCAAGGTTTTATTTTGAATATGGTGTTACACGGCTCAGTGTTATTTTTTAACCCTCAGGATGCACAGGGCCTGGATATCATCATTATTATAAAAATAATGGCCTCTCTACTTGAGGCCCTGGAGGCCAGAAAATTTTTTAGTAGTAGTCGTAGTAGAATACATCCCCTCAAGGGAAAAGAAAGGGAAGAGATGAACTCCACTCGAGCCCTTTTACACGACAGGCGGCAGTGCCTCCATCCCGCACCGCGTTTCCCAGGTGCGGCGTGCAGGACGGGAGGAGAGGTCTGGGCGAGGATAAAGCGCCGAGCAGGGACGGGACTTGCATCTACCTCCTGCCTCCGCCGCAGACGCCTGGAGGCTCTCGGAGCAACTCACCGGGTATTCCTGGTCTTTGCCATTCCCTCCGCGCCGTGGGGGTAACAGCGTTTGATCTCCCCCAGGTATTGCAGGGGTAAACCCCCGTGGCTTTTCAGAACTTTTTTTTTGCGGTTGTGGGACAAAAATACTGCAAAATAATTTCTCGTTTGGATTTTCTCCCAGGCTGGAAAACAGCACCTTCCTAGGGCCCCCCGCGCCACATTTTGAGGGCAAACAATAATAAACTTTTTTTTTGTTTTTCTCTCCCCCTCTCCTTTAGCACCTGGCGTTCTGATTGCATTAGTAAGATGGGTTTCATTCTGCACCCTACCTAAAATGCTGGTTAAACCTGTCCTGGAGGAAGCTCTGCATTACATAAAGGCAGCTGGGGCCATGTGAAAATGCCACCTTTTAATTGCGACCGTATCAGGGTAATTAGCAGCAGTCTGGAAAAACTCATCTTTACTTTTTATGCTTACCTTCCCGATTCTGGTGCAACGCTTACCTGTATCTGGGGCACAGGAAGAAGCAGAGCTCTCCCAGGGCTTTGAGAGCAGGGAAATTACGGCTAAAAGCTGCAAGCTAAAAGAGACCGAGCAGACAAAAGGCTGGAAGAAAGCTTTGTTCTCCCCATTTTCACGGATGGGGAACAGTGGCAGCAACCCCCGTGGGTCAAGCAGAACATCCGCGAGCGAAGCCGGCTTTCGCGCCGCGTGGGTGAGACCATCCCCACTCTCTAAGAACACCCCTTTTTGGCGTGGGTCCGACGTCTGGCGTTTTACTCGGCTTGCAAACGGCGGGTCTGCTTTCACCAAGTAACCTCTGCCCCCCAGCCCCGCTTCGGGGACATTAAAATGTGCGAGAAAGTGCAAATCCTAAATTAGCTCAATATTCACATGTTCCTTAATTATTGATGAAACTCTTGTCTCCCAAGGGCAGTTTTGGCAGAGGCAGCTGGGGGTTCCCAGCAGAAGAGCCGGCTCTCAGCCGTGCAGCTCCCAGCTGCTTTGCCACCGAGGCAGAAGAGAACCAAGCCTGCCCACCACCCGTCCTCCCCAGGTCCGCCAGGCCTTCCCCAGGGACCGCTACCGGGACCATTCGTTTGCTAGGAGGAGAAACCAGAGCTTTCCCCTTATCCACCCCGCAGCAAAAAATGTGTGTGTGTGGGGGGGAGAAAGCTAAAATTTTCAGCACACACAGAGTCATGGTGCTGAATGTTTCTGCTGTTACTATTTTTAAAAAACAGCTTTAACAGTTACAAAATAAACATATTTTAGTCCCTTTAGGTTAAAAGGGACCAGCAAAATTTCCCTCTTACACTTCGAAATTTATAAAAATGGATTAAGGTAAGAAAAAGAAGTATCTCTGAGTGACTCAGAAGCAGAATTTAAGTTCTCACTTGCTGAGAAACCGAGCTTCAATTTGGCCTTGGAACAATCTCCCCACTTCTGCCACCACGCAAGTTTTTTATTTTTACCGTATTCGCCAGTCCCACATCACTGAAAGTTGGCGTATCCCCGCACGAGACAGGTACAGAGACAACAGCCTTGGTTACCGTCCAAGTCCTCCGAGCTCTGATCCTTCCTGGGGGTTCCTTGGCCACTAGCACCGTGCGGCTGAGATTTATAACCCTTCACATAGCAAACCTCGTACTGCCCAGGAACGAGGAGGAATTACGCAAAGGACTGCTTCAGATGCTAGCAACCCTCACGCCGTTGGAGGACACACTCTTGTAAGATCTGGTTTTAAGATAGGCGTGATGCTATGCAGCGTTTCCAATAGACTTCGTGTGGTTTTCCTTTCTTCTTGGAGCTTCCTTCCTCCCTCTTAGTGCTGGCAGGTTCGGAGGTTTCGTGACGTAAATTGTGCCTTTTGAAGGTGGATGCTTCAAGAACTTCAATCTCGTGTGTTTAAACAGGAGAAAATTGGTTAATTACATTGGTGCATTCAGCTAATTTTCTTTGCCGAGAGCCGATTATTTGAAAGAAGTCAGCACCAGAACTACCTTTAGCTTAAAGGAAAATTGCATTAATTGCACACGAAGCTGAACTGGATGGGTCCCCGAGTGCATTTCTTAAGTTTCACAAAGCAGCTGCGTCTCAGATACTATCTACTGGAATGAAATTCACATAGACGTAAGGATACGGGGTTCTGAAATCGTAACGGCTTGTCTTGAAACTTGTACTTAACAGCATCGCGCATCTACGCTTTGAAGTAACCCTGGTTGTTACTTCTGCTTTACACTGGTCGTGTGTAAAGCACTAGAGCTGGTACATCTTGGAAAGAAATTCAAGGAGCGGGGCCTGTTCCACGCATCTGGGTTGCCACGCAGCGTGCACCAGTGCAGTCTCCCGCCCTTGGCTCGAAGGAAGGCTCTGCAGTCGGACGCAGCAAGATCAAAACAGTTGAAGCCCGTACAGCTCATGCAGACTTTGGTCCGATGCTGGTAACAGGCTACTTTTCCGTGGCCTCTACCTTCCAGGATATGGTTTGCTGCTTGCAGGTAATTAGGAGCACAAAAGTCAGCATATATACTGCTGTTCACAAAATTGCAATTGCGAATCACGTAGCTTGGCATGCAGCAGCCTTTGCACCGACAGTTGATTTCAAGGCTCAGGGCGAAGAAACGCCGCTACACCTGCGCAGAATGGCAGCAACTCACGAGAAACCATCATCTGCGTAAGGCTCCCAGTGGGACAAGGAAAATTTTCTTCCCGTGTCACTGGTGACCTGGGATTACTAAAACTGAAAACATTTTAATATCTACGCTGTGTGTGCATCAGTCTCAATTTGGAAGCGAAAGCAGACTGGCGACTCTTCATTTTGCTTAGTTTCTCGGTCATTTCACTTAGAGGTACATAATTTTGTGCTGCAACGTGTGAGTACAATGGACAAGTATGTAACACAAGACCTTTCTGTTTAAAAGTCTTATTTTCACAGAAATGAAACCAAGTAATTTCTTTGTGCTTACGTTCTGCTAATTTCACCATTTGGGCAATGACGTAATTCTTTTTCTTATGCTTTCTAAAAAAGACCTTCTTGCCAAACCAGAGTTTGGTTAAAACTGGACTCACAACCCTCTATAAACAGAAAACCTGATTTATTACTTTGAAACATGTTCCTATTGTTTCAATCATCCATTTCACTACTAGACAGTATCTGGTAAGAAGAGCTTTTGTCGAGTAATGCAAAGTTGGCTGACCACTAACACACACGGAGCAGAGCAGCTAAAGGAATTGCTTGTTTTAAACGTTAGTCTGTTACGATTCCCCCCCTCCCCATATTCTGGACATGCTATTTCCCTTTGAGTTTGAGGCATATCAAAATCCCACATTTCCTGGGATAAAATGAAATTCCCACTTCTTCTTGTACAAATAGAGAATCTTCTATTTGTAGCTGATAATTCAATCTGAGCCAGATTTAAATCTTAGGTATAGAGTCACAGAATGGTTGGGGTTGGAAGGGACCTCTAAAGGTCATCTAGTCCAACCCCCCTGCAATGAGCAGGGACATCTTCAACTAGAGCAGGTTGTTCAGAGCCCGTACTTAATACTTATACTGTACTTAACTGTAGTAACACCATAGATTTAAAGATTTATTCCTGGTTTTATTCTGCCTATAACTAACACTGGAATCTGGCCAAACACTCCTAAGAATTAGCACATAGAAACTCGTGGAAGATTAATACAGAGAACAACCAAACAAGCCCAGCAGTATTTGGAAAAGGAAACCATGTTCCTTGACTAGCACCTTTTTAAACTGAAATCTCAGAGACTGTAAAGTTTAGCTGCTTAAGAGTTAAAAAAACCAAACACTGGAAACAGTCAGGCTTTGGCTTCTGCTAACGAACAAAAATCCAAACTCGGGGTGAAATTAGAAAGGCTGCTTTGAAGGGAACCCACAAAACTTAGGATGCTTCAATATAACATGAAAAATTATTTTGCTGTCTTCTTCCATTGAGAAGATTATTTTTTTCACCTCAAGTGTGGAGCTTACTCACAAGTCTATAGCAACCTCATGGTATCAAGCGGTATTTCATTAAAGGAAGCCAGGGAACAAGCCCAGCCAGAGCAGCATCACGATGGCTAATATTTGTATAGCACCGAAAAGCAAATGCTACATGGCTTAAAAACTACAGGCATGCCAGCAGTGAAACACAGAGAAAGGCATCTTTTTCTCCCTTGCAATACAGTAAAACTACAGTAATTTTGCTGCAATGAATGAGCACGTCCTGAGGGCAAGAAAAGAGCATCGCAAACCAAGATACCTTAAAAAGGAAGAGTTCAGCTGCAACTGAAACATCTGAAGCCATGTGGACTGTGTGCTGCAGACTAAGTTTCTCCCACTGGACAATAAAGGCAGCTTAAGGAATTTTTTCATATTAACATCTGCGTCTTGACAATGTTTTTCAAACCATGTCAAGCAACTCAACTGAGCTAAGACAATAAAAAAAAAAAGCACCCATTTTATTCAGCAGAGCAGGCCGATGGGATGTTTTAGATTTGCACCGATGAAACACAGCCAGGCCCAAAGTCAAACGAACAGCTAATGGATTTGAATTCTGGTCAGCTACTCTGGATTATGCCATGATGACTGGCTGGCTTTCAGGGTTGTGCTCTCAATTTGCTGTGGCCAAAGCAGTACCAGAACCAGACTCGAGGACGGTGAATGCTTCTTCCCATTCCACCACTTTTACTTCCAAGCTCACCCATCTCTTCTGACAGCGCTTAGCTGAGTGAGATTGAGATGCCAAAATCCATCCCGAATGTTTAAGCTCTCGTACAAAACTGCTGGTGGTAGTGCTGAGTTCCAGCATTACTTATTTCCAGGTTTACAAATAGAAACAAGCTCTAATTTGGTTATAAATCTAAACTGCAGATTTTCAATGTATAAATGGCAATACTAATGCATCTGACCAGCCATGCTTTTAAAATCTGTTTGGTCTCCTAATTTCACAGAAAACCTTCCTCCATCCAAGACAACGTTTTGAATTCCGGATGCACCACTGAAGGTACCGTGAGTGTTGCCTGGGAACCAAAGATTTAGGTATGGTTAACAAAGGCACAGCTCCTGAGGGAGCTGGGGTTGTTTAGCCTGGAGAAAAGGAGGCTGAGGGGAGACCTCATCGCTCTCTACAACTCCCTGAAAGGAGGTTGTAGCGAGGTGGGGGTCGGTCTCTTCTCCCAAGGAACAAGCGATAGGACGAGAGGAAATGGCCTCAAGTTGCACCAGGGGAGGTTTAGATTGGACGTGAGGAAAAATGTCTTTACTGAAAGAGTGGTTAAACATTGGACCAGGCTGCCCAGGGAAGTGGTTGAGTCACCATCCCTGGAGGTATTTAAAAGACGGGTAGATGAGGCGCTTAGGGACATGGTTTAGTGGGCATGGTGGTGTTGGGTTGACGGTTGGACTCGATGGATCTTAGAGGTCTTTTCCAACCTTAATGATTCTATGATTCCTTTAGCTTTGTTGCAAAGTTACAATTGCTTGACAGTAGTTAACTACTGGCTAGGAAACAAAGGGAGTTTTTTTTATTTCATTCTTTAGTACTGACACTCAGGTGTAAACCTTTAATTAGACTAAGTATTTTGTGAAGAAACAATCATTTTATATGTAAAAAGGAGATCAATGAAAAAATTAGACATGACTGCAAAAATCAATGGAAAAATACATACAGCTTTGCAAAACCCCTCCTGTTTTTAGAAGCAGAGCTGGGCTATCACAAGTGAAAACAACAGTGGCTTTAATAATAAAGGCAGTGGTAGGGTGACTTTCCTCCCCCCCCCCCTGGACTGAGAAGAATGCAGTCCGTGTGAAGCAGCAGATAGTAATTCACTGGCTTTCACAGCCTTAACCACAGCAGTTAAAACCAGGCCTGATTTTGCTTGCTGTTATCTGACTTGAATGGAGTTGCACCAGAGTGAATCTGGGCTGAAGGCAGCAGAGGGTCTGCTGTGTTAAAACATAGCTCTTGCAAAGCCACTACGGTGAGCCGTCTGCCATACTGGAAGAGGCAAAGCCTAACTGTTTTTATCAAGTCTCGCTTTGCAGCCGTGCAAGCCTCAGCCCTACACGTGGAGACCTTTTTGACATGGCACTGAAGCTCACGCTGGCCTGTCACCATGTTCTCCCTTGAAAGAGCTATATTGAAACACAGCCTGTGGTTTCAGTTGGAGGTAGAGCGGCGTGCTCAAGACTGGATTACGACGTGATGCCTGGCTGGTGTGTTTACACAGACTTCTCCTCTAACATGCTAAAGTTCCAGTCACCTCAGAGTGCCAGCTTGACTCTTAAATGGTTAAATGTGCTTGCAGTGCTTCTTTTTCTTTCTCTGCGCTCCTTCCATACACTCATCTGTCTCCTCTTTTTGCTTTTTGTGTTTCTTCTTATGGCGTTTCTTTTGCTTTGCCTCATAGTCCTTTATGCTGAGATCTTCCCCATCAGATATGCCCGTGTAAATTTCTCCATTGCCCATATTTTCATCACAAGTAACGCTTTCCCCTTCGTGCTGCTCTTTATGTTTCCTTTTCTTTTTCCCTGAGTGACGCTCATTTAACAGAGCATCCAGTTCCTTTCCGTTCAAGCTACCTATCTTAGATTGTTTCCCTTTTGGTTTCTCACAATACTCTGTACTCTCTGCCTCATCTCTCTTCTGCTTCTTCTTTTTCTTTTTGACTTTGGTTTTCAGTTCTTCTGAAGGCTCCAAAGCTTCGTCAGCTGTTGGGCAGGAATTGTCTACCTCTGTTTCTGTTTCATTCTGGGATCCCTTCAGTTTTGCCATGCGCTTAGCGAAATATTCCTGTACAGTGAGAACACTCTTCACTGTATTGTAACCGTCTGCAGGCTCAGATAGCCAGTCGTTTCTCTTCTTCTCTTCCTGAGACTCGGGAACGGTATTATCCTCCTGCAGGTGAACAATGAGGAGCAGGAGTGAGAGTCAGAAATCATGGCTTTAAACATAACGTTATTTTTTGGCACACTAATAAGAAAAACATTTAAAACCCATAAGGTGCTTTGAAAATTAATTGTAAAAGTATAGACTTGGGCAGAAGTGAGAGGCAGCCCTTAATGCAAAAGATAGCGTAGGTTCAGGGAGGAGAGGTGGCAGTATGGAAGGCAGCAAGAAAATACAGAACAAAGCAATTCTCTGTTGTTTTGAATTTCTTACTGTTTACCTACTCCTGTGCAACTCATGCAGGTTA